ACACACACACACACACACACACACACACACACACACACACACACACAGTCACAATGTGACGTGTCCATTATCTCTGTTCAGATTCACTAATCGTCTCATTTTAAGTGAAAATCACCTCATTTCCCCACAGTGAGACTTTCACACCTGAACGTAGCACACACCTGAAACCTGAGAGCCAGGACCCTAACGGCATGACATTGTGCGACACTCACACACACAAGCACACTCACACGTGTTGTTGTTTATTAGCAGGTTGTAGAGAATATAAAGTACAGCAGGTCAACACGACACCTGTTCACGCACCGAAACCTGTGGGACGTCGCTCGCAACATGCAACACTTAACACTTTCAAATAGCACAAAATTAACTGATTAACAAGAGGTGTGTGTGTGTGTGTGAAAACAGGTGTGCTGGAAATTGATTTTTATAAATGTTCTTAAAAGGTTTTCAGAAACTCAGACTGTAAAATAATAAATCCAAGTTTCTCTTCGTCTACGTATTAGATTGGCATATCTAAGACCCAATCAGAGCAGGGAATGAAGAGTTTAGGTTCTTGAGCTGCGTGCTCATTGGCTGTTCTGTCAGATTGATGGTGATGGTGAAGGTTTGTGGTTGACCTCAGAGTTCAGTCTGCACAGACCTCTGATTTTTGATCTATGCTGTTTGTGTGTTTTTGGCCAATTTGTGGACTCTCAATGTGAATTATATCGTGTTTATCTGGCCACTTAACATATCTTCAGCTGTTAAGTTTATATGGTGAACTTGTTAGCAAACAGTTGCTTATTTCTTAATCAATTCTTAAGCATACAGGGAGGGAGAGAGGAGGTCAATGGACCCAACAAACAGAGATCTTTCCTTGTGTGAAACGAGAAGTCAACAGTCATTTATTTGTCTCGTAACGTGTGTACTTCAGTAACAGCACGTCTGTAGTTATTTTAACCCAAACCAAGATCTTTTCCTGAACTTAAATCAGTAGTTTTGTTGCCTAAAAGTAACTGAGTTTCCTGTTAAGACGGAAGTTTATTTTGAAAAGGACTGTATTCGAATAACGAGAGGAAATCAACACATGTTGATGGACTTTAGAAGGAAAAAGCACAAAAAATGAGGAACTCTTAATAAGATATCCCTCGAACCGTTGTATGAGGATACGACGCATTTACATAAATCCTTGGTTTGGACTTTCAGGTGTGCAAAGAATATTCAACTACAATTTGATTCAAACGTATTTAGGTCTTGTTTGGGTCGGTAAAAATGAATTCAGGTCTGTTTGCCAGGTTAATCCAGTTCTGTTGGGGACCAGGTGTGAAAACCCTGTTGCAGACCAAACAACGGATCAGGTCTCGGTCTGCAGACTCCCTTGTGGTTTGTTTTTTGGGTGTGAAAGCAAACGGCCCAACCTCATGATTCTATGACAGCAGATTTGTGTATTTAGCATGATTTCAAAAAGCCAAACGTCGAGTAAATACATCTGCTGAAATCTGTTGATTGTGTGTGTGTGTTAGGTGTCGAAGCACCTTCATACGAATCTACATTTCTTCATCAAAAATGAGTGAGATTAAACCCCAAATCAGGTGAAAAAGAGCTCTGATGAAAGAAACCTCTGTAAGAGAAAACACACGGCGGCTGAGATTCAGCTCTGCGGAGGAAAAAAGAAGCACTTTTGTTCCCAGTAATGACCCAAACACTGCCCAACACTGTGGTGTCACTGAACCCGTTTCCTCTCACAAACACACACACACACACACACACACACACACACACACACACACACACACCTGCCACTCTGTAACAGTAATAATAAAGCTGTGTGTGCTGTGTTTCTGTCGGTAGCGGTTTCTTCCTTGTTGCCTGGCAACCGATGATGATTGCGGCTGTGAAGTGTCCTTCTGAGGGCCATTATGAGACACACGCACACACACTGAATGAAGCAGAAGAGAACAGATGTGTGTGTGTTTCATTGTTCTCTCTCTTTCATATCCTCACTTTTTTCATCCATTCATCTTTCTC